AAGTCCAAGGACTTCTTTCTCCGTCTGGGAGTATCTCCTTTCAACGCTACTTAATGAGCGGCTGGCATACGCTACTATCCTTGGGCCATCAGCATGCACCTGCACCAGCACTGCTCCTAAGCCAACTGGACTGGCGTCCACTATGACCTTTGTCGGTGCATTTAGTAGCCCAGGGTCTCTGCACTCATTAAGCTTTCCTTCAGCGCCTTAAACGCCTGTCGTTGTTCATGACCAAATTGAAATGGCGTGTCCTTTCTAGTCAGCTTTCTCAGTGGATCTGCCAATGTAGCAAAGTTTGGAAAAAACTTTGCGCAGTAATTGACTAGCCACAAGAAACTTCTCATCTCAGTTGCATTCTGGGGTTCACGGGCCTCTGCAATTGCTTTCACCTTGGCCAATCCTGGGTTGAGTCCCTCGCTAGTCAGTCTGTGCCCCATGAAGTCCAACTCAGAGACACCAAACTTACACTTTTCTGTATTTGCAGTAAGTCCTGCTTCCCGCAGTCTGCCAACCTCTTGTCATGCTCTTTCTGGGTCGATGCATGCACAATGATGTCATCTGATATGTTTGCAGCTCCTTCTATACCAGCTATCACCCTGTGTATCTCGTATTGATAAATCTCTGGAGCAGCATTGATTCCGAACAAAAGTCTCTTATAGCGGAACAACCCACAATGAGTGACAAAAGTTGTCACCTCTCTAGACTCTGGATGTAACTCCAGTTGGTGGTACCCCCACTTCAGGTCTATTTTCGAAAAGACCTTCCTAATCGACAACTCCTGTAGGAGCTGTGAGCTGTGAGCGTCGAAATCGGCAGCCTAGCATAGCCGGGTAATGTTGGAGCGCCTTGAGGACCTTGCAGGACTTCCTCAATAGTGGGAATGGGGTGACGTTCTCTTACGATTACTTCGTTCTCTCTCCGCATATCAATACACAGTCTTATTTCATCATTTCGCTTTGGAACAATGACTACTGGGCTTACCAATGGCGTGGAGCGTTCAACTGGTTCGATGATGTCGAGATCGATCAATTCCGCGATTTTCATCTTGACCTTCTTTCTCAGTCCAAATGGGGTCCTTCGTACAGGCTGGGCCACTGGCTTCACCATTTCATCCACAGCTAGCTTAACTTGTCGGCCCTCCAATTTCCCTACTCCTTTGAAGACTGCTTCAAACTCATGTTTTAAGTCTGCATAGCTCTGTACTGCATTTACATGTACAACTCCCACATGGAGCACTCCCAGCTCTCTAGATGTACGTTTGCTAAGTAAAGGTTCTCCCTTTTCCTTGATAACAACAAACTCTGCAGTAGACTTCATCTTTCCCGCTTCTACTGTGGCTGTAAAACATCCAACGGTCGTCAATGGTATCTGTGATGTGTATGGATAAAGCCTCCTGCTACTCTTAGTAGACTTGCAGATTATTTTGTCCTTCTTCAGTTTCTCCCACAATATCTGATCTATTACATTGCAATCACTTCCTGAGTCCACTATGACTGGGACTGTGACACCTCCAATGATTATTGGGACCTTCTCATGATCATGAATTTGATAGTACCTCTGATCACGCCCACGGCTGTTGTCATCATCACTATCATTTCTAGGTTCACCTTCTAATTGGCGAACTCGATTCTTATACTTCTTTCCATCTCTGAATTTTCCATCTCTTAATTTTCCTCTACCCTCACTTGTGCTCGTCTTGGCCTTACTCTTGCACATCGTCGCAAAGTGGTTTTGGCCTCCACATTTCCTACAGATCTTTCCTTTGGCTGGACATGATGCATCCTTCCCAAAATGTCCTTTATTACCACATCTGTAGCATTCCAAATTCTGCTTTCTGTCACTCTCATATGATACCCGATTCACTTGAACTTGCCCACCAGCTCTAGGTCTTTCTCTCTCAATGACATGGAGTTAAATTGACCTTCAACAGCTTCTAGAGCAGCAACCATGGACAATGCATCATTTAACTTGAGCTCACCTCCTTTCTCCAGCATTCTCCTGCGAAGTTTATTAGCTCTGCAGTACTGGACTACTTAGTCAAGAATTTGGTTTTCTACATCCCCAGCTACGAAATTGCAGCCAATAGCAACCTGTCGTAATTTGGTAACAAATTGGGCAACCGTTTCACCATCATCTTGCTTTGTTTTCCTGAACAAATGTCTTTGAAACATAGCATTGGGTGCAACAACATAATGGGCATTCAAGGCATCTGTAGCTTTTTGATATTCAGTCAGACAGTCCTCTCCCCTTTATTCGGAAGCGTTTTGAAAGTTTCCCTTACCACGGGCCCCGCAGTGTACAGCAGCAATGCTCTCCGTTGCGCCTCCTGGGCCGGCGTACATCCGTCCAGAAACAGGCCGCGACTGTCGACATAGGCTTTGAACTCTTCAAGCCAAGCTTTCCACTTGCCGCTGACAATAGTTGCACCACCCGTCGGATCGAAGTGTGGAACTCCTCGAAGCGCTAACAATTCCGCTCCAGCGAATGCCATGTTGAAATTTTTCCAGCTCGTAGCCACAGATTCATCATCCAAGAAACATTAATCCTCGTCGCCAGTGTCACAAACGAACTAACAAAGTAGTTGAATTCCATGTACCATAGTCTGGTGTTTATTCCCCGCACTGGGTATCAAGTCTTGTGTATCGCATATACATCGTGCACATGCGATCTGACTGTGACTGTGCTATGGACCAGTGATGGCCTGGTGGTAGAGTCGCTGCCCAGCAAGCAGTAGATGGCAGGTTCAAATCCCGCTGGTTCCAAGATTTTTTCTGATTTGCTTTTCAATTACAGATCGATCAATCGATCTTATTTACTGGGTGAAAGCCACAAATATGTTTAAACTAATGACATTGTTATCTTTCATTTCATACTAAAATTTCTATGATTTATGTTTTCGGCAGTTTGTTTAGCTGCACTGTTCACAAGAGCCGTGTTTAATGCTATTCTGTACCCTGATCCTGAAATGAAATTGAGAAAAAAGTATTTAAATTGATCATTTAACATGTGAATTTGCTTTTGGTGAAATTTCAGCAAAATATACGGATGGGAAATATGTTTTTTGGGATGAGGAATGTGAAATGTCATGAAAAAATGACAGCCTGATTAGCGGTTTTCGCGTATTAATTTACATACATTTTTTGTAATGAAATCTTTCAGTCACATTTTGGATCACAGCTTTTGTTTTAAAAACAAAGGAAAACAAAGCAATTAAATACATGATTGCCGGGCGTTTAGAATTGGCATAACTTTCTTATTACTTGGGCCATTAGGATAAATGAGGCATCAAATAAAAGATCTTATCAAGCTCTGTTTGATGGTAGAAAGCAAGACAGAGCTTGAATTCTGACTCTGACTGAGAATTAATTTTTTTTGTAACGCTATTATATTAATTATTAACAAACAGTAACACTAACAGTAACAGTAACACTAACAAAGTAACATCTAGCTACATTGTTTCTTCATTACTAGATGTAGATTCTACATAGGGTAGCGCGCCCAGTATTCGGTCAATTCCCAGTATTCGGTCAGACAGCCGTTTCAACAGCTGTAACAATTTAAAAAATAATTTAAGAGCCACGAAACTTGCACAAATCAGGCAGCTGAACAACTTTTCTTAACTCTCAAAATTAAATCAGATTTAGGGCCCCGGAAAGATCTCCAACTTAGCTCAAAATTGGTCAATGTCGCACAACTTTCCGCACTTTCGCGTTCTCTTAGCACATGCGCTAACATGCATAGTCATATGTAGAAGTCTATTGCGAAACAACTACGTGTGCTGTCACAATGAATTTAGTATGTGTGTGAAGAGAATCACTTCCGTAATCGCTCCATCGCAGCGAATTTGCAAATGACGCACTTGCCGATGTGCAAGAGGTATTTATACGATACCCTTGCCATGCGGTATCGCTCAGCCAGTATTCGGTCAACGCATTGACATTCAGTGCTTTATCGCGCAATTGTGTGAAAATAGTGCGCAAATACGCTACGCTCCTTTGCAACGGAGATACCACGCACAAATCGCGTGACCGAATTCTAGTCGGCGCGACCGAATTCTGGGCAGAAAAATGCTCCGTCTTCTTTCGGAAGTCTTTTGCTTATCGTTATTCTATATTTTCAGTGACTATAAAATCCTGTTAGAGGAATAAATTTCTTTTCTTTTGATGGGTAGATTGCCCAATGAAAGAGGTAAGAATTCAAAATATTAGTGATTTCCCCTTAAGTGACCGAATACTGGGTACTCTACCCTATATAGATTGTGATGTTATTGTTTGCGATAACGGTGATACAGGTATTGAAGAAGATTGTATAAAGCAAGTGTTCATATTATTCATTTGGAGGATGAAAAGTTGAATTTTACATTGTTTTGTGCCATTGCGAGTTGGCTCAGTCGGTAAAGCTTCCGTCTGTCAAACCAAAGATCCCGGGTTCGACTCCCACCCAGGCGGATGACTGAAGCCTGCATTGTGTGTTAACGTGCCCCTTCCCTTGTAGACGCAGGTTATGTCACGGGGACAACATTCCGTCCCTCGGATAGGATGTTAAATGGAGGCCCCGTGTAGAGAAGAGTCACTACCACTACCTTGCACGTTAAGAACCCACTGGCTGCACTATTCGTATAATTAAGAGTAGATTCTAGGTCTAGTCTAGGTCTAGACTCTAGGGGAAACCCCGGTGTAGACCTGCACACACCCCCAATAATGCCAATATATTAGTAGGCCTAGGTCTACGATAATACTCTGTAAAGAGGTCTGTACTCATACTTAGGAAGAAGAAGATTGCAGCGCTGAACATGCTGAATGTGGTGTGTTCGTCTCTAGGCCTAGATCTAGATCTAGATCTAGAGGTCTACATCTATCATCTAGGCCTAAGTTAGGCTCTAATTTACTAATCTGCTACAGTGCTAGATCTAATTAATTTGAGACAAATTTAGATGGCTTTCCTGATGATATTTCATGCAAAATTTCTTTATAATGATAAGCAATGATTCTTGTCCTTACCTTTGACTTGTTTCTTGTCTGTTATGGTCATTTAGTAGATGAATTACTTGAATTCTGAGCACTATTTCAGTAACGCAAAAAAGTCCAGCTCGTGTAGCTAGTCCCACACACGTATTTGTATGTACCTTGCGTGCCGTGCGTTGATCCTGGCCGGAATCACGTAGATTATTGGTATCCGAAAAAGGCCGATTTAACGTTGCCAATTTCGTGATGACTTTATGAAACTAGCGATTCATTGTAGTGTAAAAGGCACGGAGATTGTCGCTGAATGCGGACCGAACAGTCCATGGTGTGTCATGAATATTCATGTTTTTGCTTACCTCGGCTAAATGTTTGCTTTTACTAAATTGAAAAATTACGGTGGGGGGTTGGATGAAATGGACATAATGAAATAGGCAGAAGTGATCTATAATAATTCATGCTTTTTATGTTTCGTGTGCTCGACCTAGATCTATAATCTTCAAATCGCTTGGAAAACCGAGTCCAAAGTTAGACTTGTTTCACATGTGTATTATAGGCAATGATGAGCTTGCAACCTATTTTGAAAAATTACGGTGGGTGAACCAGGGACTCGGAACTCAAATGCCCTGGGTGAACTTTCAAAAGTCAATGAGACATGAGGGCTCCAATGAAAGAGCTAGTGATAACGTACGTCGGGGTGGATGTGCTTTTCGTTTAAACAAAAAATGAATTTTTAAAAAAAACGTCCATAGGCTAACATGTTAGGCTGCTGACTCTGATCATGCTCTGACGATATGGGGCGTTGTGAAATGAGACTAAACGGAGCAATATGAAAATCATGTAAAACCACGTGATTTTCAACTTCCGATAGTCCCATAGGTGGTACACGTAGAGTTAGGAAAATGACCGTCTGCAGAAAGACTACGTACTCTGCTTTCGAAGAACCATCTAACTTTTGATAAAATGTCATTTTTTGGGAAATATGAGACCTTGTTTTTAAACCTCCTTTAATCTCTTCAATAGGTATTTTCTCTGGGCGCTAGCGTACCGATCCAAAGTTACCCCCCCCCCCTCCGATTGTCCCATAGGTAGTACACGTAGAGTTAGGAAAATGACCGTCTGCAGAAAGACTACTCTGCTATCGAAGAACCATCTAAATTTTGATAAAATGTCTTTTTTTTTTAAATATGAGACCTTTACCTTGAACCTCCATTAATCTCTTCAATAGGTATTTTCTCTGAGCGCTAGCGTACCGATCCAAAGTTACCCCTCCCCCTCCGATTGTCCCATAGGTAGTACACGTAGAGTTAGGAAAATGACCGTCTGCAGAAAGACTACTCTGCTATCGAAGAACCATCTAAATTTTGATAAAATGTCATTTTTTGGAAATATGAGACCTTTACCTCGAACCTCCAATAATCTCTTCAATAGGTATTTTCTCTGAGCGCTAGCGTACCGATCCAAAGTTACCCTCCCCCTCCGATTGTCCCATAGGTCTCATTTTTCCAAAAAATGACATTTTATCAAAAGTTAAATGGTTCTTCGATAGCAGAGTAGTCTTTCTGCAGACGGTCATTTTCCTAACTCTACGTAGCAGACGGTCATTTTCCTAACTCTACGTACACGTAGAGTTAGGAAATGACCGTCTGCAGAAAGACTACTCTGCTATCGAAGAACCATTTAACTTTTGATAAAATGTCATTTTTTGGACAAATGAGACCTTGTTCTTGAACCTCCATTAATCTCATCAATAGGTATTTTCTCTGAGCGCTAGCGGACCGATCCAAAGTTACCCCACCCCCTCTGATTGTTCTGTATTACACATAGAGTAATAGGAAAACTACCGTCTTTTTTAACCTTATTTTTTCTAGTTTAATATAAAATAATATTTCATTTAAATATTTTTGCAAACTTTTCGTTTTTATTCAAAATTTATTGATCAGGTCAATAAATAATTCATTTAGTTGCGTTAATCCAATTTTAATCTTAGACCCTTATACTTTTCACATTCCTCAAATTGGTTTTCCGGCTGGAATCCGGCCAACTTCAATCTTGCGTGCGCTGTAAAAGTTCTATTTCGCGCCTTCAATCTGGCGACCACAATATCGCTCTCTCTCTCTCTCTCTCTCTCCTGGCCTTAGATGCTGTTGTTATTGTTGTTAATAGTTTAATGGCGTTCATTCAGTAGTATTGAATATATAGTATATACGCCATGCATACATAAGAAAACTGATAATATAGATTGTAATGGCATAATTAATTAGTCAGTAATGCAATTTATTAGGAGTCTCTGGATGGTTTGCAACTTCGTGTTTCTGCTTTTTTTATAAGGTTAATCTGGTTATATGCTTCTCGCTAGAAAATTATTATATTTCTCGTCTATTTCAAAATAATATTATCAACGAATGAGTAATAACTTCCGGCTTTCTAGTGTTAAAGCTCACCTGTCGGAGGAAGATGTCTGGACCTTACTCAATACTGTTTAACTTTAATATCAGCTCTGTATTCTGAAAATATCGGTCATTCCGCACAATGGCTATATCCCTTTCATTAAAAGAGGAGATTTTCAGCTTTCTGGTGGTATAGGTCACTTGCCGGAGGAAGATGTCTGGAATTCCGGCTCTGGGCTGTATTCTGAAAAAGTTCGGTTTTTCCGAACAATTCATATCCCGTTCAAGCAATAATTAAAATGAAGTGCCCACTGTCAGGGCACCTAAATCTTTGAGCTGATTAAATATTCTAAAAGGGGAGATTTTCAGCTTTATGGTTGTATAGGTCACCTGCCGGAGGAAGATGTCTGGACCTTATAATATACAAAATTAAAAAGTACGAATCAGCAGGAAGAAAAAAAAATCTGTATTCAGGCTATAGTTCAATCATATAATATAACATGTCATTCTGTCTCTCAAGTGTAAGGTATTCCTTTAATTTCCTCTTAAAATGAGAAAAGTTTGTTTTTTTCCTTTATATCATTAGGAAGGGAATTCCAATGTTTTATGGCAATGTAATAAAACGAATGCCAATACTCCCTATACTTTTTCTGGTAATAGTTAAAGTTGAATCGGTTATTTCTTGTATTATAATCATGAGAGTCGGTAACAAGATCGAAGTGGGATCGAATATGATTCGACCTAGTATGATATATTTTATGCACGTGATGCAATACGAATTGTTTTGATATTAACCCTAATAAGGCCGGGCTATATGAGGTCTTAGTATGGCCGGGGGGCATTATGGCCCCCCCCCCCTTAAGATCTCGGCCGCGAAGCTCCCGATCTTCGCGAAAATTTGCACGCATGTCAAGTGAAGTGTATAGAATAATATGATCATTTCAATTTTTTGAAAAATTCACTCATTTGCATATTTATGGTAGTTTATGCAAATAAAGTCATAAAACTCACATTTTTACCCATAAATCATATATTATTCATAATTAGGCATTCTTTTTCACTACATATATTCATTAGACCATTCTGAATAATAATACAACAAACAAATTTGGAAGAGCCAGCTTATTCCTTAAGTTATGCCTTGTTTTGATAATTTCTTATGTATTTCATTGTTTTTTTTTAACTTATGTATTTCATTGTTTTTGTTGTTTTATTTCATTTCTTACTACAATTCAACTATTTTGACACCCAAAACAACCACCTAAACTTTAAACAAGACCCAATAACCCATGTTTGATCTGTTTTTAGGAAAAATGACCTTTCCATATGTTTCGTACACAAATCACGAAAATGAGCGATTTTCGGGCTGACATGCAAAGACAAAAGGTCACGTGACATTGTAACCGTATAGGTCCGATTTTCAAAAAAAATCTTTTAAAAGTTGCGCAAGACTCGAAAGAAAAAAGTCAGCAAGTGGCGGGGCGCCATCCATATGCGTTCTCGAGCAATCAGAAAAATCGTGGAGGGGGGCCATAATGTCCCCCCCCCCCCGGCCTTATTAGGGTTAAAGGTTGACTTCAAGAAAAACCAGCTTTAGAAAGTTGGATGAAGCCAACATGAGTTCTTGGACCAGAATAGTTTATGAATCTCACGATTTTGTTCTGTAAGGGATAATACTTAGCAAGGGAATGATAATGCTTCACCACCACACACATCTGGGAAGGACGCATCCAAGATTTGAATACATTTACTTGATAGAAGACTTCACATATTACGTCATGTACGAAAATGATGTCCATGACGTGCTGATAAACTGTACAGTATTCTCGCTTTATATCTCATATACACTTTGGCGGTTAAACTTGTAGATATTTATGGACAAGAATATAATAAATCTCTCAAAATAAGTAAAGTCATTTCTTGGGGTGAGGTTTCCTACTTCGCACACGTTTTTAAAATGGTTTAGGTTATGAATTTTAGAATTATCAGTTGGGGACTATAATGATTCTATAAAAGCTTTGTGTAAATCAATCAGATGTATATCAAAAAGAAAGCAGAATGTCATAATACAAATGGATGCAACTACAAGGTTCCCGCGAGAAAGAATTCTGGAGATAAGGTGATCTCAAAATTTGGACGTGAGTTTGTTATACATTTTGTAAGGCTAGTTTCAATCATTGCATCTCATTTAGAAATCGAGGTCTCCATGAAAATAATAGACCTCTAAATATATGAGGGGGCCCGTTTCTCGAAACCGTCATAAGTCTAACTACGTGAGGTGCTCCCGGAGGAAAAAGTGCCCCTATTACTTTGACAAATGCCCCTATTAATTTTTTAACTGCCCCTTCCCCTTTCCACCTCTGATAAGTGCCTCTATTATTTTGACACATATACCCTTTTCCTTTCACAAGTATCCATTTTCCTTTGCCATCAGTGTCCACTTTCCATTCTCATAATTGCCTTTTTTAATCTCTAGTAAGTTCCCCTTTTCAGGTACGAGAAGTGCCCCTTTTCACTTTTGATAAGCGCCCCTTCACCTCTTCACACTGATAATTGTCCTATTCAAATATGAGAGGTTCCCCTTTTCCTTATGAAAAGTGCCCTTGTTAAAAAAAGTCCCTTTCCCTTTTCATAAATGCCCTTTTCATCTATTAAGATAACCCTATTCAATTCCGAGAGATACTCGTTTTACTTTGACTAGTGGAGCCCCTTTTATTTTGACACGTCCCCCTTTTCCTTCCTAATAAACGCTCCTTTTCCTTCTTATAAGTGCCCCTTCCCCTTCATAATTACCCCCCTTTTCATCTTTGATAAGTGCCCCGTTTATTTTAACATGTGCCTCTTTTTCTTTTTAATAAGAGCCACTTCCCCCTTCTCATATAAGCCCCCTTTCACCTCCGATAAATGCCCCCATTAAAATCTGATCGGTGCCCCTTTTCTTTCAACAAATGTACATTTCCCTTTATCATTTAGTGCCCCCTTTTCATTCTCATAAGTGCCTCTTTTCATGTGCGATAAGTGTCTCTTTCCACCTCTGACAGTTACCCTTTTAACAATGATATGTGCCCCTTTTTCCTTTTCTAATAAGGAACCTATCCCTTTTTCATAAATGCCCATTTTTACTTCATGCCCCTATCAAAATCTGATGGGTGCCTCTTTTCCGTCGAAAATGCCCATTTCTCATAAAATCCCTTTCATCCCTGGTGCGTGCCTCTTTTTTAGGTCCAAGAAGTGGCCCATTTTTACCTCTGATAATTAGCCTTTGTACTTTGACACGTGCTCCTTAACCCTTTCGATAAGTGTCCCCTAATTTCGTACGTCTGAGAGCAATTTGCCAAAAGCTCGCTTGCCATGCTCGCTCGTAGTTATAATTTTTGTACACATAAATTGGATAACCAACTTCAAAGTTACAACATAGATACTTGAGTGTAAGACTTATGACAGTTTCGAGAAACGGGTGCATATACACCTTTCCCATCGGTTTCAGAACGGTATAATTACGAACGTATACCCAGATAGCAAAATATCTGGGGCCCATCTGGGATTTGTATGGGCTGACTAAAACCCACATGGCCAATACAAAAACCAGATGTATACCAGATGGGCCTTCCCATGCACCCAGAACCCACACACATGGGCCCCATGTGGGCCCCATGTGGGTTTTTGTTTGTGAAAATCGCACGTCGAACATCGGCTGCATGGGCCCAGCTAAAAACCAGATGTATACCAGATGGGCCTTTCCACCAAGAACCCACAAGTACCAACACATATGGGCCCCATATGGGCCCCATGTGGGTTTTTGGTGGTGATCATAATCGCACGTCGAAGATTGTCTTCACCCAGCTGAAAACCAGATGTATCCCATATGGACCTTCCCACAAAGAACCCACAGGTATACGGAGCGCACGTGGCCCATATAAAAACCAGATGTATACCAGATGGGCCTTCCCATCCAGAACCCACAAGTATAGGCCCCATATGGGCCCCATGTGGGTTTTTGGTGGTGATAATTGCACGTCGAAGATTGTCTTCACCCAGCTGAAAACCAGATGTATATCAGATGGGCCTTCCCACCAAGAACCCACCGGTATACGGAGCCCACGTGGCCCATATAAAAAAACAGATGTATACCAGATGGGCCTTCCCATCCAGAACCCACAAGTACCAACACATATAGGGCCCATATGGGCTCCATGTGGGTTTTTAGTGGTGAAAATCGCACGTCGAACATTGTCTTCGCCCAGCTGAAAACCAGATGTATACCAGATGGGCCTTCCCACCCAAAACCCACAAATATATCCCATCATTTGCATGAGTATGGGGTGCGTGCACATCTATGTTTTTTAACAGTTTATCTAAATTTACAGGATATTTCTTAATTACTGATGATTTAGTTATTTGCAATTCATTTCGAAAATACTACAAAATGTAAATTGCCAATTATTAGGAAATTTCACTACTTTGTTTAAATTACATTTAATTAAACATGAATTAGAAAAAACACTAACTATAATCTAAAACAGATTCAATAAAATACAAGTATATGGAAATGTCTAATCACAGCAAATTAACCAAGTCTTCTTAACACCAATGCCTTTACATTGGAAATGTTAGACGATGTGTTTTGCCATTGACCAAATTAATTAGTACAAGTGCTACATAACCTACTAATTATGTCTGCTAATTGGAACTTTCAATCAGTGGTTGAAAGTTGTGCCAAATGGTACGACTGGTCCAGTTAAACCCAACTGGTAACCCTGGAAATTGAAATGGGATAAATGAATTCAACTGGGAAAAATAGGAACCCATTTAAACAATATGAAGCCCATTTAAAACAACATTGGCTCATATGGAACCAGATCAAACCCACTTGGCCCATAATGGATCCCATATAAAAACCCGCTTATAGCCCATATGGCCCCATATAGAACCCACTTGACCCATATATAGAATGTGGTAGGTCCCACATAAAACCCACATATGGCCCATCTGGTGCCCAATAGGTAACCCTTGTGTATATTGATGGGCCAATTGTGGGGTACATCTGGGTTTCACGTGGGCCCATCTGGGCCAAGTGGGTACAATCTGGGCCGCCCATCTGGGGCCCTTCTACAACCCGGGTGCAGATTGCTGGGCCCCACATGGGGCCTATCTGGGACCCATCTGGGCCAAATGGGCCAAGTGGGCAAGAGATGGGCTGGCCCATCTGGGCCAAGTGGGCCAGCCCAGTTGTAACCAGATAAAACCCAGATGGGCCCCACAACATTTTGCTATCTGGGATATATCCTCCCTACCTACTGGCTACTCTCTCTCCCTCCCCCCCCCCCCTTTTTTTCCCCCACCCTCTCTCTCTCTCTCTCTCTCTCTCTCTCTCTCTCTCTCCCTCCCTCCCTCTCTCTCCCTCTCTCTCTCTCTCTCTTTCTCTCTCTCTCTTTTGTTCTTGTTTTTTTTTGCCATTCGATAGGGTTTTCGATAAGTACCATCGATCGTACATTTCTATTTTAATTTGTCCACTCAGCGACACCAAAAGCTACATAGACCTAATAATATGCAAAGTGTAGTAATCATATAAGTCTACTCCAGAATTTGACATTTTACAACCACTTTTAACGGCAAAGATGAGCCATCAACTATATAGAAACACAGCCCTTGGTAACAGCTTGCAAGAGAGTCTGGACGAATTAATTCAGGTGAGTAACTACAGAAGAGGCTTAGCAAAATGCAAATAGCCATAGAAGCATAGAATCAATGCTAAATCTCTAGGCGCGCGCTGCACTACGTGTACGGTGTAGGCCCTACCCCTAGACCGAAATTTCTGTCGCTTCGTTTGTTAGCCTCTGATTTGGGTAGACTAGCAGCCTTTTCACACACAGCTAAAATTCTATAAACATGATTAGTATAAATGTGTTTGAAACATGTTTAAACTAATCACGAGCCTTTCACACACAGGAATTTCGGTGCGATAATCGTTTTCGTGATTAACTAGACCTAGAATCTACTGCTCGTAAAAATGCGCAGTGCCAGTAGTGCCATTGCGCATTGAAGGTCATGTCATATCAATCAAAGCACACGCTCCATCCAGTTTAAACATGTCTGAAACACGTTTAAAGAGAAGGTTGAGTTCTGGGAAGAGGTAAAACATAATTTGTGAGCGTTATCATTGTTATTATGCAAGGGTGGAAGAACATCAGATTAAACATGTTCCCTGAAAAGCATGGCTCTTCAAATGCCATCATATTCTAAATATGACATGAAACATCGTAAAAATCGGGGGTAGGTTTTTTTCGCCATGTGCTCGTGTAGTCCCATATACATCATTCTGTGTACAGTGCTTGTAACTTTGCCAAGATTTGGCCAAATTTCTTATCATTTTGATGATTCAAGAACCTTGCAATACACTCGAATACTTATACTAGATGATCAACCTTTTCTGATAGATTCCACACCGTTTCTTTCACAATGCAATCACATGACCAGAACTCAACTTTTATATCTTTAAACACGAACAACCTTTCACACACAAAATGTCAAGCTCTCTAGTCTAGATAGTAGATACGAACTTCGTATCTGCAGCCTGCTTTTAGGGGCGTATGGATCGCGACTTCGTATCTATCCCAACATCGTATAAACGATGTTCACACTGGGAAAATTTTCTATAAACATATTTAAAACTGTTGAGTTAAACACGTTTATACTAATCATCTCTAGATACGATGAATTTTAGCTGTGTGTGAAAAGGCTGTAGGTCGGCTCCTCTCTTTAGAGACAGAAGCGAACCATAGACGCTACGGTGTGGGTTCGGTGGATTGATCTCACCACCAAACATGCAATATGCATAAAATGGTATGTTTGACATTTAAAATTGCTCCAAAAAACACAAAAAATAGAGCGTATTAATGAGCGGGCGGTCGAGGACAGCCAGATGATTTATTTTTTTTTTGGGGGGGGGGGGCCTAATAATGGTCATGATTTCAAAGTTGTGCATGAAGTTAGCGACTGTAATCTCAGATCTTCATTGAATTCATGCAAGTAATTCACATAATAAATGGATGATGAGCATTAGTGGACCATTCTTTCTTTTCAGTTAAAGCACTTTAAAATTTGTCAAGGATTTAACAAAAAATACATGATTTTGGTACTGGAGTGACACCATTTGCTTATCTTCCTTGTGTTCCTGATGCATGATGATAATTAGTTTAGGCACAATTTACAAGAGTGCGCAATGTTGGTTCAGGCTTAAATGCAAAGACATGAGGTGTACACGAAAAAACTTGTTTTCGCGTTTCCAATTTGATTTTTATTTCACAATAATAGTGATTAGTTGAGTCTATGGAGGTGCACGCACAAAATCCACTGTGAAGAGAGGAGATTTGAGGAATGAACAAAGCAAAAAGAACCAAAATAGTAAGGGGGAAAGAAGACGGGTGAATAGAATGATGAGATGAGAATTTATAAGGGAAAAGAAATTTGAAGGAAAATATGAGTTATTTATGTCTGATGCTTTCCTTGTGGTGACTACCAATGATAAATATTTATTTATATCATTTGTAGATCTAATTGAAGTTGTTTTCTCAGTAATGGGGAAAAATACCCATTTCCTTCTTACCGGTATTTTTTTTTTTTGGCTAAGAACTTCAGACAACAGGGCAGGGAGTTCATTCCATACATATATTTTTTATTGGATAACAACCCACCCTTCAAACAATTGGATGGATATTTGATATATACATGTAAGGAATTTTTAATGATATATTTGACATACCGGTACATGTAAAAGAATATATTTGAATGCCTGGAGCCCTTAATGTTGAGATTTGTTGGGAAGAAGAAGGTGAAAATATGTGTATTGGCACATTTGGCAGACAACTGGTATACTTTCATTGTGAATCCTGAATGAATGACCTATATTTATATAGAGAATGGGTTATGGGAAAGTGAACTATTTTAATCAGGAGTCTGGCAAACCAAGCTATGGTCTGTTCTAGCTGTCAGGCATTGTATTCGGAAGAGTAAAATGCAGGGAAACTCAAGTGAGAGAAATCTATATGTGAGTTAATAAAACATGTATCTTGATCCTGTGCTTCATTAAAATCATTTTTTCTCTCCCATACAGGCAAGGCTTATTACACCACAACTTGCTCTGAATGTCCTGCTCAAGTTTGATCGTGCCATCAATGATGCTCTGGCAAACAGACTAAAAAACAAGATCAGTTTTAAGGTATAATAAATTTTTTGATTTGTATGTTTTTATTTGAAACAAAATAATTAAGTCAAGACTGGAGATCATTTTCAATAAAATATTCCCACCCCTCCCCCCCCCCCACTTAGTGTTATTTAGGGTACGCATATGCGTGTTCCCAGTGACCCCCCCCCCCCCTTTTCAGCAAAAGTCTGGTGTGTAAAGTCAATACAGGTAGCCTTTTTTCTGGCTCGGTGTAAAAATGTCAGAGGTAAAAATGTCAGAGGTAAAAATGTCAGAGGTAAAAATGTCAGAGGTAAAAATGTCAGAGGTATAAATGTTAGAGGTATAAAATAAAAAACAAAAGCATGTGACAAGTTTGTTATGGTTAAACCCGGGTTATACATTAGGCTTATCGAAAAAGAACAGCGAGGGATATTCTGCAGTCGTTATTTCACCGCTGCTTTACTTTCCACTTTCCCAGTTTAAATTTATTTACCTTTCGGCCCCAAATTGTGACTTTTTGCCCGATTATTGCCGAAGGAAGACGGGGGGGGGGGGGGGGGGGGGGTATTCTTCTTCTGGGGCACGGTGACCCGGCTGCTCTCCACCTTCCTCTTATATGCTTTGCTATATATCGTTCCGAACAGTGGTCAATGCCTAGGCAGAGAAGGCAGACTAATGGGACATGATTTCTACTCCGAGTTTCGCGCCTTGCAAGCTATCATCAGGCAACTGATAGCATTCTTAAAAGTACATGATTATCCTACAACCTTGGTACAAATACCCCTAAAATAAGACCTAACTAATAAAATACAATTGGAATTACTCATGAGCAGGGGCGTACGGGGGGGGGGGGGGGGGGGGTTTGGGGGGGGGGGGGGGGGGGGGCCCCCAAACCCCCCTTTGGTATTTTTATGTATGTAAACCCCCCTAAAAAAACCTAACCCCCCCCCCCCCCTTTGGTTTTTTAATTTTTTTAATTTTTTTATTATTAAAAAAAAAAATCATACCCACGGCTAACCTAAATAAGGTGACCTTACCCCCCCCCCCCCCAACGAAAGAAAAATGTCAAATTACCCCCCCCCCCCCCCCCCCCCCACTGAGCGACTTTTCGGCCGGCGCGATTTTCAAATTTTCGGGAGCAAAATATTTTAAAACCCCCCTCCCCCTTGAAAAAATCCTGCGTACGCCCCTGCTCATGAGTATTCTTATTGTATTGTATTCAGGTATTGTAGTCTTATTGTATTGTATAGCTCTTATTTTGAGCGTATTTGTACCAAGGTTGTAGAGGAATCATGTACTTTGACGAATGCTATCAGTTGTCTGATGATCGCTTGTAAGGCGTGAAACTCGGAGTAGCAACCATGCATGTCCCATTAGTCTGCCTAATTCAATATTTATATACCGGTATATTATGCTTTTGTATAAGCAAATGGTACTGGTACACTGAGCAAACTTCTGGGGGAAAAGATTTCTAAAATCGAGAAGTTTGGCCATGTTTTATAGGCTGAGTTGTCGCTCCATGGTGTAATCATTAAAGGTAATACAAAGTTTTGGGAAATTTTTGAGAAATTGGCTCAAAAGTGATTCTTTACAATTTTGATATTTTTGGTTGACCCTGTGGACGTACTATAAGCACTAGAAAATTTAGTCCCTAAAACACTTCTGCTTTCGAGAAAAATTGAATTAAAAAATTTACCGGTACTCCCGGTAAATTTTGATAAATTTCAAATAGCGCTTACGGCCATACAATGGTAGCTGCGACCATGAAAATCTCAGAATATGTACTTGTGATATGTTATTACCAAACGGGAATAGCCAATCGGTCGATTTTAGTCAAGAACATTGTTTTATGGTTCAATCAATATTTCGACCTTGAGAGGGAGCTATATAACATGAAGAGTTCATTATTTACAATTTCATAACTTAAGACTCGATTTCAACCGCGACAACGATCACCGAATATTGTAGGATCACATATGCTTCCAATATGTTCATTTGAACTAAATTCATGACCCCATACCAAAACTTTGTATTACCTTTAAATAAAAAGAAAAGTCAGAACAGCCCACAAAATAGGATCAGATATCTATGAACCTTCCCCCCCCCCCCCCACTTCTCCTTCACTTTTGAAGATTGTTGGACATTTCAACTGCGTGGCAATGACTACTATTATATGTAATTTCCAATAAATGCATATTTCCGACAATTCCACTTTCTTGTTTGGCTTGATATTTGGCTTGTATTTTGATACTCTGAAAGTAGGGTCCATGCTGAAACAAAGCAGAAAGCCATGTTATCAGCGCTAACCGCACCATCACATTCCCGAAGTGCGCACGTTGCAATAAAATATTGTCGATTACTATAAAATAGTCTGGGGAAAAAATCAATAAGCAGCTTTGTTACTCCGATACAAAGCAGAAAGCCGCCCATGTTACATCAATTAAAGAGAAGGTTGAGTTCTGGGGAAAGGTGAACAATAATGTGTGAGCGTTTGTTATCATTCTTATTATGCAAGTGTGGAAGAACATCAAAGAAAAAAGTTATTCCCTGAAAATCCATTTCAAATGACTTCATATCCCAGATATGACAAGTAACAGCTTTAAAATGAGGCCCAATTTGTATGCAATATGTTTGTGTAGTCCCATATCTGTCTGTGTACAGTGCTTGTTACTTTACCAAGACTGGGCCAAAGATTTTATCATTTTAATGACTCCAAAACCTTGCACTACACACCAATACTTACATGTTTATGCTAGATGATCAACCTTTTCTGATTGCTTCCACACCGTTTCTTTCACAATGCAATCGCAAGACCAGAACTCAACTTTATCATTAAATGCCAACCGCACCATCACATTTTAGAGAAGCGCGCGCTTTGCAGAGGTTCGGTTTAAATTACATCGTTATTTATAATTGTCGGTCGGAGTTTAAAATGGGGATGAGCTTCTGAATCGAGACGGTCTTTTACTTTTTGGAGCGGGTTTTTAGTTTTCGGAGCGAGTTTTCACTTTTCGGAGTGACTTCTTGATTTTCTTATTCTTTCTCCACTTCCTTTGCCGCCATGAGGTGCTAAAGCTTTAGCAGAGTTCGGGGCGCCCAGCCCTTATATGTAACTTTTCGTGATTCCCCGTGATTATGTAACTATTTTGTACTAAATGCACTACTCACTTAACTTTTGTCAAGAATTTTCATTTCTTCGTTTGGACTTTGTTCGTCTCTGGAACGTTACACGGGCTATGTTGCAGGCTGCCACCGGCCAAATCGGTCCGTTTCACAAACATTAACACATCAACCGATTCAAAATATCACAAAATGTTAGACATTCATGATATGCAAGCCTTATGCAGGTGTCATTTGTAAGGCGCACCTTTTGACCCCCGGGGATGGTGCGTCATGGTTGCGTCATGTTCCCCAAAATCGCGACGCACAGCACCGTCATGGCCACAAAATGTCCGTCACAATACTGACCCATATGTGCGTCATTGTAAGTCACTTTACCACGTTGCGTCATTTGGTGTGTCAGTGGGACCGTCACTTTCTCCAAGCAGAAGTGTTTCTCAAATGTGCGTCATTGGCTAGTCATTTTCATGAAATGGTGAGTCATATGTTTGACTCAAATGTGCGTCGATGGAATGTAATGGTGTGTCACTTTCTGTGACGGAAGGTGCGTCATGGTATCAAAATGTACGACTCACATCGGTACAATGACGCACCATTCCCGGGGGTCAAGAGGTGCGTCTTACAAATGACAAGTGCATTATCACAACAAAATAAATTTCAAAATCTATTTTCCACATTGTATTATCCTCAGGACATGTACGAAATACAACACACAGCCATTTATAAAATTTACATTATGGAAGAAAGGAATATAATAGACTAGCCCATGCAGTAGCAGTACGTCTCGACATTCTGTGTGATAAAAGTGTTGAGATATTATGACGGCACTCATTTTGTTTGCTTGTACCTCTGACATTTTTACGACTGACATTTTTTCCTCTGACATTTTTACCTCTGACATTTTTACCTCTGACATTTTTACCTCTGACATTTTTACCTCTGACATTTTTACCTCTGACATTTTTACCTCTGACATTTTTACCTTTGACATTTTTACCTCTGACATTTTTACCTCCGACATTTTTACCTCTGACATTTTTACCTCTGACATTTTTACCTCTGACATTTTTACCTCTGACATTTTTTCCTCTGACATTTTTACCTGGCACCTTTTTTCTTTTGTTACGAGCCGGAAAGTTTGGGAACACGCATGGTATAATTCCATTCACGGAATGGGAGGCCAGGAAAATAGTGAGGGAAACAATGTATCGAAAACATGCATATCACACCTAGGATTAACAAGAGGTCATACATATAGTATGTTCATGTTGCCTACTAATGATGGCCTATTTAGAACTCACTTGCATCAATGCTTCTCTCAAAATGTTAAAGTTAATTTAAGGGTACTTGTGTTATGCTCCTTTAATATGAAATAGGCCTTCATGTAATTTATAATTTGTTATTAGGATTTTGTGCCCCACCCCCCTCTCCCCAAATGACTGAACAAAGTGGCTTTTTCCTGAAACTTATGACATAGTAGGAAGCCCGGCAAACTAGGTTTTCCCCATTGTTGCTTATATCAATTGGTCATTTTAATATTTCTGTAGTCTCTACATTAACAGAAAAGATATAGGAGAAAATAAATGATTAGACTGTTGTGAATGTCAATGATCACATTCCTTACACTCAACTTGATTCATGCATTGGTAAAATCTTGAATTACTATAACCTTTTCTTTGTTCAATTTCTTTCAGGGTCATCTGAATACATACAGATTCTGTGACAATGTTTGGACATTTGTTCTGAACGATGTGGACTTCCGTAACGGTGACTTTGTGACAGTTGACAAGGTCAAGATTGTGGCTGTTGATGGCAAGATATCAGCAGCATCGGGCCAGGACTGACACCCAGTACCGAAAAAAGGAGAACACTATTCAAAAGACTACTAGTGAAGCAAGAATCTTCTGTGCAAATTGATGGCTTGCTAGAATGTAGGAAGTCAGGGGATGTTTGTGATTCCAAAATGTACGTTTCTTGCTGATGGCTGGCAAATACATGTAACGAAAGGAGCTTGCATCTGGCCATCTATCCTATTAAAGTTGCGAAAGTGAATCTTAAAAGATTATATTGTCACAAGAATCTGACAGGTCTACAATGTCTTATTAATTTGTATTTATTGGTTTCTACTCCTTCCAACTTTTCGTCATGTGAATATTTACAATTCTATAGCTAATATAGAGAAGCTATATTGAATATGTCTCCTGTATTCCATGGTGATGAACTTACCCCAACCCATATAGAGAATGGATGGGGGGAGGAAACTTTACAGGGTACAGTGTGCCACAGCCCATTTACAATTTTAATAAGACCCAATAGGAATTCAAACATTTGTTTTTGATACAGATGTAACAATATGAGGACTTAATCAACAAATTAAAATTCTTTTCCTTTTTTGCTACCACAACTAGATATTCTTCTTGAATGTCAGGTGTAGCTATAAAGGTACAATTGTACTTGTTGCCAATTTTCCCTCTCATGAATTTTGCTTAAATCCATTTTTACTGTGTTAAAGAAAACTTACTGGAATTCTGCAAATGAAATATTTGCTGGTGTAAAAATTAGAAATAAATCCAATTCAAATTTTCCAGGTTTTTCTTTATTCATTTTGCAAAACAATGAGGGGAAAATTGTGCTGCAACTACCTACCACTGTCATTTTTCTGAGAAACATATCATGTATTGTGTGATATTGCTGGTGTATTGGTCCAGAACAAGGCGGACTACATGTAGATTCAAATAACTTACTGAATTTATCATTTAAATTAATGTGCAAGCATTTAATTTGTAAACAAGTAGTGAAGTAATCAATTGATTTGGTTGTAAAGTAGAAATTACTGCACTTCACAATTTATAATTTTTTTCTCATAGGGAAATTTGTCAAGTAAATCCATTATCGTCAATGTTTTAATTAGGTGGATCCATAATTTTCTCTCAAAAGGATGCATTATGTAATGTTGGTGCAATATGCACATTTTTTGTATTATGTATTTATTTTCATGTTCCAAAATATTAGCTGCATTTTTTTCTTCTTATTGTAGACAAATAGACATGTTTTACCGGTAACTGTGATCAAAGTTATGAAAGGTCTGTAATCTGTATACCAATAAAGAGGTGACTTGTGTTGATCAAGATGGCTAGGGATAGATAGACTGGTATCACAATTTTGGCCATGGAATTTTGTTGTAACCAGCTTGTTTTACCTTGAATGAACTGGTCTCAAGGCAAAATAACCGGCCATTTTGTTTGTTTGTTTTGTTTGTTTGATTGATTTTATTTCTGCGTTCAAAATATACAAATTCAAAGTCAAAGTACAAAATTTCGAACAATAACAAATACAATGAATACAATGTTTACAAAAGTTAGTAAGAGAAAACTTTGAGAAAACTGTAGAATCTCTCACCAGCAGCCAACCCTTAAGAATCATTACTCAAGTGTAACTCTATTCTTTGTGGTGAACATGTTTTGTTTTGAGATTATATGTCATCTTGATGAGTCTATATATGAACAAAAATGTAAAATGTGTGAGACAGTGTTAGAACTCTTGAGTGGAGCATTATTAAAAGACTTCTGTATTTCAGCCTATGGTTTAAAAAAAGAAGAAGAAATGTTCATTGTGATTTACAACAAATCAAGACTAAATTGAACATTTTGATATGTCAAATTTTAAAGGGATAGTTGAGTTCTGTTGCAGAGGGTGCTACACAAAATATTTTGTTTTGAGATAATGAAAGAGATGAATGTCAAATATGAAAGAACATACAATTTAAAAGACAAAATCGGTTCAGAGACGGCTGAAATATCAATAGATTTTTAATGCTTGTGTACGACCACAAATATTCAATAATTTGAAAAAGCCGTTGAAAAACAAAATATTTCTTTTACGTCGTATTTCAGCCAATGCCGATGTTGACTTTTTTGTTGGCTTTTTCGTGTTGGTTACATGTATATTATGCACAACCAGCTGGCCCATGTATTGTTATTTTTAACTAATTAATTAATTAACGGTCACCAAATTTTTAAAGTGGATCTGAATTGGTATGATCGTATGGGCTAAATTTCACACATTTTGGGGTCTAAAATTACATAGATAAGAATAAGAGCAATAACTATGCACTTTGAAGTCATTTGCGGTCTGAAAACAGAACTCAACTATCCCTTTCAGTCAAATTTTTGTCAAATTTTAAGAATAAAAGAAATCCACAGATTATTACCTTTTCATTACTCTCCAGTTTCTTAATTGTTTAAATTAAATTTCTATATCTTGTAGAGTAAGTGATTTGTGACAGATACAAGTATGAACATGTGTTTAAACCACCAAAAAGAACTTTGTATAAAGTCTCTTGTAAATAGTCTGGATCATTTGATAGTGATAGTGCAATCATGAATTATCATTATCACCAGTTTTGATGGTCAAATTTCATCTTAACATGAGGAGTTATAAAAAAGGATACTTGTTTACAAAGAGATTTATTTAACATTGTCAGCAATCAGCATACTTCTTTTGGTTTTTACAAGTTTATTCCTTCTCAACTGTAAACATGCATGTAAATCAAAGAGTAGAGAAAGTTATTAAATGCCACAATTATATACCAGCAGCTTTACTTTTGATCCTTATTGTTCTGTAAAGTTTTCTGAACCCTCCCCCCCCCCCACACACACACACACACACACTCTCATTTAGCATATCAGTCATTTAACAAAACTCCAGATAAATTCGAGACACCATATTTTCTATTTGATAATAATAATAAAATAAATAGCAATAAAGTAATGAATGGCATGATCATGCAGCACTCCCCCTCCTCCCTCTCTTGGGGGGGGGGGGGGGTACAAAGCATCTTGGCTATCCACCCAAGTGAGATTTATTTTTGGACGAATACCCAATGAGATGAGAGTCGTACCAAAAGGGTTCAAATTATCATGTGCGCCAAATATATGTCATCTCAATGACATATCTGGCAGACATTCACTTTGGCAAACAAGAGAACTGGTCTTTATACTCCCGACTCCCTCTCAAAATATTTCAGTATGAAATTAATATACACTGTAAGCCTAATCAATTGTCACACTGCATAAAAGGGAATTCAACCTGGTTCGGCTTAGCTTAGACACATCAAAGAATGTCATTACTTTTGTCTATTTGATTTCATTCAAACTGAACCATTCTGTTTTTCTGACTTGTCTCCTTTCTTTCAAAGTGATTTTCTTTCAAGGATAGGTTCTCTTTTAACCTTAAGAAGTTTAGTGTTGTCTCTATTGACATTTAAATACTTTTATCTTTTGAACCGGAATACATCTACCCATTCTCTTCATACTCCTAGCAGTTTTTATGACAGACAATGCTGCTTGAAACTTGAACAGGTAACACCCTTTGGCAAGAAAATTAGTTCCCTGAAGAAAAAAAACATACACAAGTAATACAACCTATCCTCTTATTGCAATTGTAAGGCACCAAACTTTATTCTTTCTATGCCTACAATGTATCTCTCCACAATCATCTCGAAGAATTCGATTTTTGAAAACAATTTTACTTGTGTTCAACAGACATAGTACAGGGCAGATATATAAGTCTGTATTGGTAATTGGAGCCTTATAATAATAACTTATCATAATATTCTGTTCTTGAATAGGACATATCACAGGCACTCCCAAAGTACCCTACCCTTGTGACCCACAGTTTCTTGAACAGTTCTGCATGAATCTTCAGGCTAGAATGGAGCAAACTTCTCAAAGATGGAGATATATCTCGCACCTAGATCATGCAAAGGTTATAGGTTATTTACTATCTTCATTGATATTGTACGTTTGTAACAGTTAATTATTCCCATAACAAATATTCAAGGGTTTGCCTACACACTTTATGCTCAAAACTCTGCTCTTGATCTCTGCATACAATGTACAGCATGCATATTCCTTTCTTACAAGACATAAAAACCCTCCTCCAGTCCCGACTTGTAGGATATTTAGTCTGTCATAAAGTGTCTTTATCTGGCTTACATCCCTTGATTAGTCCCATGACAAATGATCAAGGTTCTGACTCCATAATCCATACTTCATTCTCCAATAAGACTTGGCCCTCAATCTTAAATGCATCTTCCTTTCTTCATTCACGGTTTTACAGATATATAGGATGTAAAGACTTCCCCCTCCAATTGTTTAGGATATTTACTCCACATTCATCTGTCTTGTGATCTTGTCAATTCTGATTATTCCGATGACATCTGATGAAAGTTTTGCCTCCATACGTGCTTCTTGCTCCAAGAACAAATTGGTCCTCAACCTCTGCATTCAACCTGCATCTTCTTTTCTTTGGCCTGCATGATAGTATTCCTTTTGTCACCATGATTCAGCAATCTTCAAAATCATCTTCATAGTCTACTTCAGCCCTCATCTCTTTAAAAAGTTTTTTATACTCGGCTCCAATTTCATCTTCAACTCCTCCTTCATTATCATATTCATTCTCTTCATCAATGTCATTTTCCTCTTCCTCCCCTTCGTCTTCCTCTTCCTCTGTATCCATCTTTTCTTCAATATATTGTGCTTGACACATTTGCAGAATTGAAGTTGCTCTCTCATTGAGATCCTGCAGTGGTTCTTGATTGATTATCTCGTCGTCCATGTGTGGCTCAGAGTCCTGAAATTAATGTTTTTAAATCAATTACAGAAAAAATAGTAAATCATTAAAATTGAATTGTTCAATTTAGGGCCAAAGATTGCTTCATATAAAAGATAAGGCTTTAAGGGCACCTCGCTTCATGTACTATGCTAGTGCATCTATGTAGTTGAACTGCCAAATTGAATTTAAGTGAATATGGCACTTCCAAACGAAACAAACCTAACTGAACAATCATTTCATTCAGCAGTTCAGTAAGATAAGTTGATCATGAAGTATCATTGTTAGCTGTTACCAATTTTGATGTTGACATTTCATCTAAACTGATGGTTAGATTTTACAAATATCTTAAGAATGGCATAAAATCTAAATGCCATAATAACTTTTAGAGTGACTCAGTAACATAGTTGAAGGTTGATGAAAAATTGCTTTTTTTAGAATTAAATGTTACTTATTATATTCCTTCTACTGACATGCAAAAATCTTGAAAAAATTCTTCAACCACGAAGGTTTCTATGGTTTTCTTTGAAAGCATTACTGTGCAACACCCTCTAACTGTGATTAACAGTAAATTCTCCCAACCATTTTTGAATTTTCCCAACCATTTTTTGATGAAAAAATAAATAAAACAGGCTATTAAAAATCTTTTGACACTTAAATGACTGGAATAGTATGTAGAGCCAATTTATTGCCTTGTGACGATTTACATTCACCTAAAATGTAATTAAATTGTAATAATATAGTTGGGAGAATTAAGGAATCAGTCAGATCAGTTTTTCCCAATTTGTATCATTAATAATGGTCCGTTTTCACTCAAATTTTCAGACTATCTTTAATTGTACATCGAGCATTGAAGTCACTACCTAAGCACCACTTTCTCTCATCTGAATAATGATGGACTTTATTGAAATTTCAATTACAAACATGAGGGAAGTCTTGATTAGATCAGCCTGACATACAGCAAAAAATGAAATGGAATGTATTTGATAGGAAAACAAAATTACCCAAAATTGTTTTGAATTCTACATTGTAGATTTATCACAAGTGGCGTAATGAGCAAAAATTGGGGGGGGGGGCAGAAAGAAATAAAATGTGTATCATTTACAAAAAAAGTGAGAGAAAAAAAACCAGTAAATCATGTCTGTAAATCACTGGTATCGAATTAGAAATATACAATCTCAAAAAATGAAATGCACATCTCCCTTTCCAAACATCAATCTTTCTCCCTTTCCAAACATCAATCTTTCTCCCTTCCCTACCATCCCGACCCCCCCCCCCCAAACCCCCACGATCAGTACAC